TGTACATTTTAAAAATATTTAAAATTATTTAAAAAACCAGTGGCGTACTTTTTTTTTTTTCAAAAAAGGCCCCCTACTCCCCCAATAACTACGCCACTGGAGTGTATTTTGGAATAAGTTATCCATGAAAAAATAGTCCCTTCCAAAAAAATTTCATCCTCCAAATTTTATCACTACATATTTTTTGCCAGTTAAGTTACAGGAAAAATCATATAAATATTTGAAATGCTGTATCTCGGTAGGGACACGTCCTATCAAAAATTTTTATAGGGCAAAAGTTGATTATTTTCATCTGTAGAATACGCCAGTAAAGACTGGCAAAAAATTATCAGTAGCACCTGTATATTATGCGCTACAAAAAGTTACTAACGTTTAAAAAATCAATCTGTTTTCGTCTTATAAACTTATTTTAAATTATTTTGACAGTTTAAATGGGCGTGTCTTTCAAATTATTCCGTGACCTTGGACCTTTATTGGTTACAAGTTATTAAAGACCGCGAAAGTTAGTTTCTTTCGGTGCGAGATTTTTTGATTAGGCAAAGCCATTTTCACAAAAATAACCCTTGCTCGATCTTTTTAGTCCAAGGGTTTATTTAATCAATTTTCACAGGTTGTAAAACACCCAATAAATAAGAGAAAAAAACTATGCCACAAATAAGTAACTTCAGGAAATATCCCACTTCTGATTTGCAATTTTCCAACCGCCTAACATTTCGACGACGGAACAGAGTTTTCGCTCTGCGCTAATGTTGGTTAAGGCACCAGCGGGTACTCACCTTCTGGGTCACTCTTCATCGTGGAATTCAGATTAAGATTAAGTGCACTATTCTTCATGGCGCTGGGAGAGAAGTCCGCCGGCTGCGTCTGCGGGGGCTGCGTGTGCGACAAGTTCAATTCGTTATTGTTGTTGTTTCCTATGATGTGTTCCGATCTGGCCCTCTTGTGTTCGCTGTCCGGGTCCGAGGATATCCTCCGCTCCCGCCTGTACTGCATGGCCGCCCGCCTCAGCAGCTGGTTGACCGTCGCGCCGTGCGGCGGCGACGACGGCGACGTGAACAGGGCGTCCTCTACTAACTTTTCGGTGAAGCTGGGGTGGTGGTTCGACAAAGGCGTTGATTGCTGTTGTTGCTGCTGCTGCTGCTGCTGCTGCTGCTGCTGCTGCTGCTGAGATCTAACCATACTTTGTACTTGGGCCAACTGTAAGGGAACATCGCCAAACGGAATTAGTTTGGATTTGTGGACATATATATTTTTTTTAGAGTAGGAAAAAAGTTTCGTACCTGATCACGGCCGTCGCCGTGCTGTTGTGTGAGTCCGCTGACTCTGAGAACTTCCGCCGTCTTGAGGAACGAGGATAGGGAGCGCTGGTGTACGTTAACTTCGCCGTGGTAGATGAACTCCACCAGGGCGTGGAGGTCCGTCCACGCGACATCTTGTAGCACTATCACAGGGTGTTTGCAGGGCGTAGACTGGAACAGAACATTCGGATGCATAGGACATATAAGTGATATCTACCTGGTATGCAAATGTAAGTATAGAGTGTCCCAATATCTCGCGTACATGGAGCTACCACAGGTTACTGAGATGAAAATATGCATATTTTACCTCTATCCGAATTGTCCTGCAAAATAAGGAAAAAATGAGCGAACTTTTTTACTCTGAGATTTTTTTATAGATAGATGTATGTTTTGAGGTTAGAAAACATACGACACATGTGCAACCACTACCAACACACAGCGTTTTGAGATATGGACATATACAGTGTGTCCAAGATAATGATGGGATAGCATTAGGATCTAGGAAAGGGTAAGAGATTGCTCAAATTAGAAAAAAGTTGTGTTATTTGATACCTAACAATATGTCGTTTAGAAAGTTTTAAGATTCCGGGTAGTTCCGGAGATATCTGGAAAAACCCGAAATTTTGCAAAATCGTTTTATTTATTTTCTGGCTTTATGTGAATACGAATTTTAAAATAAATTGCACATTTACGATTGTCACTTCTTTCGGTCTAGTCAATGGCGTCAACATTTTTGTAATCCGACGTTTTGTCTTCGAGGGGCCATCATCAGGTTAATTTTTTTTAAATACGTCGCTGCTATTTTTATGACAGTCATTTTAAATTCTGAATTAGATGATATTACTATTGTAATCGCTTAAAAAGGTTTTTAGCTTGTTTTAGCTATCAATTAAAATTTTTCCTGAGTACAACTCTAAACGCTTTCAAAATATCTATTGGAGGAGGTCATAACAGTATAAAAGTCAATACAGCACAAAATATCCAACAATTTTTTTTTTCTACTATGAGCAATACTAATTAGAAATATTAAAACATTTCATAAATTCGTATTATTTTTTATTAAGTACAACTTTTTTAAATTATTGATTATAGATTCTTAAAGGGGACCCGTATTTTTTCTTTTTGCCATCTGGCCCCCTCTTTCGGAGTTACAGCCCCCCGAAGTCCGCCCCTAAGAATAATCTTTTTTTATATCTCAGAACCCTGTTGAACCAGAATCACTAAATTTGCTACACAGGGGTTTTATGACATGTGGAATGTCACAGTGCTATGCTTTTTGGCGAGAAACCCCCTTAAATCACTTTTTTGTGGACCCTCTTGTCTTTGGAACCAGAAAAATTTGGTCGCAAATTTGATTTTTTTTAAAATTATTAGTTAGAAAGCCATTGAATAATAATTTATAAATTTAAAAAATTTAAACTTTAAATTACTTTAAACTTTTTTGTCTCTTGACATTTTTGTTTCGTAAAACGCAATGTTTTTGAGAAAATTGGCGAATCACGATTATGCACTCGATCACATTTTGATATTTTTATCGAAAACATTGCGTTTTATGAAGAAAGTATAAAGAAAAATTTTTTTGGCTCCAAAGACAAGGGGGACCACGAAAAATTGTCTTAAGGGGGTTCCCCGCCAAAAAACGTAGCACCATCAGATTCCACATGTCATAAAACCCCTGTGTACCAAATTTAGTGATNAACTTTTTTACTCTGAGATTTTTGTATCATTGTAGGTTTTGAGGTCAGAAAACATATGGCACACACGCAACCACCACCAACATACAGCACTTATTTCCTAAATCGTTTCGGAGATAGAGGGCGTTGAAATAGAATTTTCTTTCCCGCTTTTCCCTCATAACTTTTGAACCACTCATCCGATTGCGGTGAAATTCGGAACACAAACACTCCTTACAATCTTATATAAGCTTCTCAAGTTTGAACCACTTAGAAGTGTGTTTTATATGCTACCCCCTGCTACATTATTTCAAAACTTCAAAAAAATTAATTCATTTAAATAAAACAGCTGCACACCACTTTTGTCTCATTAATTTTGAAACTGTTTCGTCTTTTGTTTTTTTTTTTTTGATATATGCCTTTATTAAGGAAATTACTTACCGTTTTGTTAGCCTCTGCAACCAGTAAGCGCATCCTACCGTCGTAGAAATAAACATGATAAGTGAACAAAAAAAGCTTGCTCGTGCAAAAAAGTATTTTTAGTGCTAAAAGGAAAAATTCCTACTTCGACGCCCTCTATCTCCAAAACGATGTGATTTAGGAAATAAGTTACCCATTATATACGATTTTTCGCGTTTTTTGACCAAAAAGTGCCAATATCTCAATGAAAAAGCATTTTTTCGAAAAAAAGTTTGAAATAAAAGTTGTTCAAAATTAAATTTTCTACAAAATTGCTCCTATGAAAAATTTCGATTTTCCCAGTAGTTTTCCCGTTTATTTTTTAAATGAAGATTATGTTAAAATTAACGTTATAGAGCCAAATTATGGTCAATTTATTTGTTAAATAACAAAAGTGAATTAGAAAAAACAAAATTGGGGACAATTCTTGGAATTTCTTATACAGTTTTCCGAGGTTTAAATATTTATGAGCATCAAACGTATCGTTTTATATTATCTTCTCTAGGGTGTACATTACGAATTAATTATGCGCTTTTGAATATTTTCCAGAAAAAAAGTTTTTTTTAATTATAAATAAATTAAAAAAAAATATATTGATATAATATTTTTATTATACCTGTGCAGCTCCAGAAAATTCCTTTCCTATTTTCATCAAATTTAAATTTTCAATTTCATTATATTCAATTTCAATTCAATTTCAAAGAAAACACTTTCGTGGAAAATATTAAAAAGCGCATAATTAAAACCTATAAAATGATACGTTTGATGCTCATAAATATTCAAACATCGGAAAACTACATAAGATTTTCCGCAATTTTCCTTTCTCTAATTCACTTTTGTTATTTAAAAAATAATTGGCCATTATTTTGGTTCCAAAACATTAATTTCAACATAATCTGTACTTTATTTAAAAAATATACGGGAAAACCTGAAATGAAAAAATGAAATTTTCATAGGGCAAATTTTGTAGGAAATTTAATTTTGAACAATTGTTATTTGAAACTTTTTTCAAGAAAATGCATCTTCATTGAGATATTGGCAGTTTTTGGTCAAAAAACGCGAAAAATCATATATACAGGGTGTTTAAAAATGTTGTTCAGAGAATTCTAGAGCAAATTCTACATCCAAAAATACGAAAAAAATTCCTATAAACGTAAGTCCGCAAATGCTTCGTTTTCCAAATAGAGGATGTCAAAAAAATTAAAAAAATAGGTTTTTATTGATAATTTCTAAATTTTTCATTGGAAATCGTTTAAATTTGGATCAATACATTTATGATACGTAGGTTATAATTTGGTATAATCGATTGCATTTCAGACCTATCAGGGGCGTAGAGATGGAAAGTGCCTATTCATTTTTGACCACAAAATCTATGCCGCTGGTTTTTCTACTGGTTTTTACTTTAATTTTAGGAACCCCATTTATTATAGAGCAAAAAGGTCCCCTTGCACATTTGTCATTTAGCGAGTGGCTTTCGAGCTATTGAAGAATTTTAAAAATCATGCTAATCTATCTATGAACCATTACCCACTAAAAAAACATGGTTGGTGACTGTCACTGAAAGAAATGACCCAAATTTAAACGATTTCAAATGAATAATTTAGAAATTATCAATAAAAAACATATTTTTTAATTTTTTTGACACCCCCGAAGCAAATGCTTCGTTTTCGAAATGTGCTTCGTTTGCTACGTTGATAGGAATTTTGTTTCGCATTTTTGAATGTAGAATCTGCTCTAAAACGCTGTATATTGCCGGTGGTTGCGTGTGTGTCATATGTTTTCTCAAAACCTACACTTTTCTAAGTATAAAAAAATCTCAGAGTAAAAAAGTTCGCTTATTCCGTCTTATGTCTAACTTTCCTAGACTATAAGTTGCTTCGTTTAACCACCAGAAGGCATCAAATTGGATGAGAAAAAAATTGTTTTTTTTTTCTAATAAATTTTGAAACACGTAAAATTTTGTTAAAATTTGTTACACTAATACTTCCATAAAGATGTCACTTTATCATATAGTAAACGAAATTATTGAATTGACAGAAGTAAATGTTAAAAATATCTCCTTCCTAATCTGCTCATAATTTTATAAGGGGGTCAACCTTCTTTTGTTTTAAAGATGAAGGGTTCATTAAAAATTTCAAAGCTAAAAAAAACTATTTTTCTTCTCAAATTTGATGCTCTGTAGCGGCAAAACGGAGCAAGTTAGAATAAGTAAGTTTAGATAAATCTGCTTATTTTCATCGCAGGAAGCTGTGGTAACTCCATGTACATGGAACATTGGGACACCCTGTACCTTCCAACCAGTTTTGTGAACAGACCTTTTGATTACATACTAGATCTTCCAACTTCCGTAACAGATTTCAAAATTTCGTAACGATTTATTGCTACAA